GCACAGAACAAAAACAACATGTCAGGGAGGAAAACAAAACATCAGGAAAAAAAGAAAAAAAAAAGTAAAATACCGTCATGTTGTACTGATACCCATCAGCCTAGTCAAGCACTAACGTGCCACCAAATGCCCTTTTACTTCTCACTAATCACGACTCCCCTAGGTAGCTACAGAAAGAATTCTTGGTAACTTTGAAGAAAATCAGCATTAAAGCGTCTGTGCTGGAGTTCCTGTCATGCTGCATCATTAGCGAAGCTAACGTGGTTTACCAACAAGAGACTGAGGTAAAAAGCCAAGAATCAAGTTCACGATCATCTCGGGCTTCTCGGCAGAGTTTCTCAGCTGCCTGAAAATTCAGCTTTCGGAAGGCTTTTTTGGGATCACTGTGAAGAGGGGCTTTCAAGGTAAATGCCCGGCCTTTCCTGCGCAGCAGGATTTCATCTGCCTTCTGTATGTACGCATGCATAGAGAGGTTATATTAGTAGGGGTGGGTTTTATTTCCCCTTGTATTGCTACACCGAGAAGAAAAATTTAAATCCCCGTGTTACTCGCTTTAATTAAATGCCTACTTCTGGCATAGAGCCACCTCACAGAGCACCTGTGCACCCTACTTGGTGCTTCTAAGTGATGCTGACATCTTCTAGTCGTACAGAGGAAGCACTTCAGAATGTTCCCTTTAGAACATTTGCTCTCTTGCACTCATCTCTCTTTGGGGAGGTCGGGCTCAGCACTGTTTCCACGATATCCCAAATCCTCCTCTCTTCGCTTCTCTCGCACACACGCACATGTGGAGGCAGCATCTCGCATATGGCCACTCTAACATTTTCACGTTTTGGGACAGTTATTCTCTTTATTCACGCACACTTAGCTGCATGCCTACATTAAGAGTTGCCAACTAAACCATTTTGTTCCATCTGCTATGACCATTTTCCAACACTCTGATTCACCCGTTTCCCTCCTCGCAGAGCCCACAGGGAGGCCTGAAAACGGCAGGACAGAGGGTGGAGGAGCAGGAGGAGACGAAACTCCACAGACCTGAACAAGGGTCCGGGAAACTGCGCAGGGCACCTCGAACAGGATGGAGCCTGCAGGATTCTCATGTATTGGAGCTTTTGAGTTGCAGGTACATTTAAGAAGACTGTGAACATTGCAGAATTGCACCTCGTGGTGAACTATAGCCCACCCTCAAGCTCACCGTTATTGCTACTTACTCCCATACATGCTGACAGTTCAGGAAGCTACAGAGCTACCCATATGTATTTGACAATTTTCAGATTGCTATGAAACATCTCAAAAGAATGAAGATAATTTAAAACACTATGATATATAAGCTATTTGTACTGTGCTATTTTTCTTAATGTTATTGTTCATTAAAAAAGTAACATATATCAGAATCAAATGAACAATAAACTCGCATGCTAATCCACTATTTTTCAACAAGAGGTTGGCTGGGATGCCCCCTGTTCCACGGGACTCGCTCGCTTGTCGTTTTTAAGCCCTAAATCCCGTAATCAGATTGAGCAGCGCAGCCCCGCACCTGCAGAGCCTCCCTGCGCTGCAAGCACAAACCCACGAGGCGCCCGATCCGCCTGGAGAGGCAGCGGTTTCACTAAAGTGAACACAATTCCGCTTCTGAATGAAGGTTCATCCTGTCTTCATGAATAAAGCCACAAAACAACACACGAAAATTCATACTTCAGGTTTGTGATTTAAGTCAGCTAAGATTGTTGAAATTAAGAGTGAAATAAAAGCGGTCGGCACTGGCCCTTGAGGTAACAGCCCTTTTAGTTTGCGAATACAACCTGGGTTTTTTCCTCTCGGATATATCTGGCAATCATGTAGGCCCTTCATTCTTTAAAGGAAAGTGCTGTGTGGAATCTGCTGATACAACTTGGGCTCCTATTTTGTAGCTTGCATATTTTTAAATTAAGCCTGACCTTAGGAGCCATATTTATGTGCATGAGAAACGTAGGGCAAGAGAAGGAAAAGTGGTTAAAAAAAAAAAAAAAGTATTTCTTTGTTCAAGTTGCTAATCAATAAATAACTCCACTTAAAATTCCCAGGCAGAAAATACCCTCAAAAATTACTTCAATCCGGTATGCAGTCTCAAAGGCTGCTATACTAGTGATGTTAAATCCAGACGTTCTTCCAGGTCGCCAGTCCCAACCATGAGAAGTTGCTACTAATTACTGTCAGCCATTTGGTGTATTTCTTGGTCTAACACATCCGTACGACGTGTCTAAGCGGGGCACCCTCACCCTATTTTTATACGGTCAGAAAACACGTGGCAGCACCAGCAGAACCCGGGAAGCAGCAGAAATGCGAGATTCACCAGGCTGCCTGCACAAACACCTGCCTGCGCGCGGCCCCGTCTGGACCTAAAATGGCTGTTTTGCAGGGGAGGTTGTTGCCTGGTGACCAAAGTGCATCTCCTAGGCCACGGAGGGATGCGAGCGCTCGCGGAGCGCCTCGTTCCTGGTGCTCCTGAGGAGACCACAGCGGCAACGCGGAGCCAGCCAGCACGCAGCCCCCCGCGCATCCGCGTTGCTGCCCTGCTTAAAACCGGTATTTGGGCCTGAGATTTTAAGCCACTCGCTATCCAGGCAAGGAGGAAATAATTAAAAAAAAGGCAGCATAAACCCTAGTGTGCTGCTGTCCACAGAATACGAAAGTAGACCAAGCTCCAGCTACTGTGAGCCTGCAAGATACCCTCGCTTCAATTAAGGCTGTGTTGTACATCTAGCCTGTTCCGGTGCAACCTCCCAGTTGCTATCGGGCTCTCTTTCTTTCATTAGAATCAAGTAGTTAATTAGCCCCAGCCTGTCCTCTCTCCTTCTCTCTTTTCTTTTTTTTAGTAATGATGTCTAATTACCAGCAGCAGTGGATTACAGCACCATCAGGAGCAAATCTCTCTGGCTGACAGCAAAGCTGAGCAACAAATCTTCAAGCTTCAAGGAGAGAATAAATCCTAACAAAGTATTTTTATATTATTTGCTTATTTTTGACCAGCTTGTGACTTCAGAGTACAAATTTCACAACCATCCATCCATCCTGTTATTGCAGGGGGAGCGCTCATGCTGCCAGCAGTGATTAATTTTAAATTGGAATTACTTTTACCTGTGGTGAGATCAAGTGACAGACAGGAGAGGATGAGGGAGGGAACTGCTGTTTGGGGATCTCACGGTGTTTGCAGCTCTCTGTGCATTGGACAGGCTCACGTACATGTGGCAACAGCGAGACAAAAACAACAAAACAGGGCGGATAGTTCTGAGTGACCCTACATTAATAAACCCTGAAGTAGCCGGGAAGAGTTAAAGAAATGAGAAAATGGGCTTTTAAGGCTTACCAACAATTACGTGTCCAATGAAAACCCCGCATTTCCCCCTACGTTATCGTTTCAGGCTGGGTGAAATCCTGGCCTGCTCAAGTCGACAGGAGCTTTTCCTGGGACAGGACTGCATCCATACGGGATACGGGGGCGTCCAGCACCCGGCACACACTGGCCCTTTCCTGGCGGTCGCTCCTACTAGCAAATAGGTGCTGCGCTACAGATGTACTCAGATAACTCCCTGCCTTTTGGGACCGGATGGTGACAACAGGGTCCTGCTTTTGGGAGGGAGGTGGCAGCTGTGTCGCAGAGCCGATGGCTGTGTAAGAACGATGAGAAGAAGCTCTTCTCATTGCCACTAACAGCCGAGCAAAGAAAGAACTTTTAACCTAAAATGAAGACCTTTTCCATACGGGTTTATATGTTGTACCGATATCCCGGAATTGCTTACAGCTCTGTCCTAGCAACTTTCCTTCCTTGCTCTTACGAAGGCTGCTTGGTTGTTAAACCTGGTAAGTTATTTCTATGAGAGTCTGAATACACATATGTTTATGCAGAAACAGACCCAGAGCATCCTCACAGCTGAGGAAGCGATTCCCCAAATGAGCAAAGGGAAGACCAGGAAGGAGCTCAACCTCTGGAATCTCTGAAGAAAGGAAATCAAGAAGAAAAAAAAAACGAATATTTGATCTGAAAATAAAATAGAAGAGGGGGCACAAGGGGGGATTCCCAGCTTTTATAACACAGCAAAGTGAGAGAAAGCAGAAACATTGATGATCCCTGAAAAACCTTTTGTTTCACAGACCCTGATTCCCACTTAATTCTTAAATTCCCTCCTGTAAAGTTGAAGTTATCTACCTGTTTATTAATGTAGCCAGCACAGTTTTACTCCGGAGCTACCGAATTTGCCGACAGTTTTCAACTTGATGTGAAATGGATGCTCCTAGGAATAAAATCCTGCCTACTAGCTCTTACCATTCTACTTAGCAGGAGAGGAATTTAAAATAAAATCAACCTACCGGAGATTTCTGCAACTTTTGGACAACTTGCGTTCAGATTTCACTGAAAAAATGGCATTTTCCTAATTCTCCCGCGGGGTCTGCGGGAGCCACGTGCCCTCTCCCCGCAGCCGGGTCCCCGCGCGCGGGGCCTGGGCGCGCGTGGCCGCGCGAG